ACTGATTTGGAAGTCAGAGTAATGGAAACAAGGGCTGGTGCATACAAATTCTTTCCAAATCACATGTTAATCCCTGTTAAATGTAAAAATATGTTGCATTAGTTTCAAGGAAGCATTTTGGTCTTACAGCGCTAGTTTTGTGTTATACTTTTTCTCATCCGTAACGTTAGTTGTGGGGCACATCCTTCACTTTTATCGCCGCATTTTTTTATTTTAAATTTAACACCAATGCTGCGCCGCTTGGTGACATCGTCGTGGCGACGTGCGCTACCCACATCCGCAGTCCGGGCGGTACCTATTATCTGCACTGGGACAGCATCGCATCGCTTTATCGCCACCGGCGCGGCGCCGGGATCCGCCAACGCTGATCGAGAGTTCAACGACGGTGATTCTTCTAGTTCACGGCGCCGCCCTCCCCTGCCTCCGCTGCCGCCGGCCTTCGACATTGTGCACTGGAATGATGTTGATATCACGGCAGGCCACCTCATCCGAGTGATCTATCGCGATAGCTACATCGTGTTGGAATACCACCGACAGACACGAAGGATCATGGACGACGACGGGCACCGCATCGAAAACGAGGGGAGGAGTAATGCGGAGCGCGTTGTTTCTCTGACCCTTCCCCCAGTGTATATCGCACGGTTTCTGGGGGTTCTAGAGGGTCGTATGCCGGAAGTCGAGGTCCAATCGCGCTTCACAAACGCTTCCTTTAAGCCCGACCCCTCAACGGCGAAGGAACACCACTACATCCTGCGCTGCGTTTCGCATCGGCCAACAACTGGCCCACGCCAGACCGCGGAGAGCGCTGACGCCATGGGGGAGTCCATTGAGTGGCAGGTGCGTCTGGATGCAGCTGAATCTCTCATGTTGCACCGCTTTCTCACACAAGCACTCAAGTACAACTCTGGATTTGGTCGACAGAAGTGATTTTTCTAGATTACTCTTTGCTTCCAAGGTCTTTTGTTGGTTGGTTGGTTTCAAAGATAAGGTGTTCATGCAGAATCGCTCCAAACAGTGGAGGAAACTACAATGATAGAAAATGAAGTAGCGATAAACGGAACAGAAATAGAACAGAAGGATGCAGCAGGGAATTGTTGATTAGTACAAATTTCAAAAATAAAAAGCAAACGGTTTATAGGTTCTGATAAGACATTGAGGGAAAATTTATCAAAGGTAATTAACACGTTGTTATATTGATCAACTTATCTCAAGAATCATTTTTGACAAACAAACTCATGAGGGAAACTTACATACTCCATGAAAGCGCTGTTTCTAAAAATGATAGACATTTCGTATTTATGAATTCGAATCGTATATATGCGTATATATATGTCTGTGTAATGGAATTTGCTTATGTTGTCAACACTTTCTCCAAGTTATTCCTTTTTTTTTTTGAGATAGATATAAATGTTGCGCGTCGTAGTATGGGACAACTACTCTGAACAAATAACGAATTCTGTCAATAAAGAAATTAAGATGCTACCCTGTGGTCTTGGTCCTATATATGTTTCCCTTCTACTCATGCACAAGTATGAGTACGATTTGATGCACATTAACGATTCCCGTCATAGATTCTCTTTTTCCATTACTAACTTGACTTAAATTACTAAATTATAGCGAGTATCATAATCTTTTGATATTAAATTTTTTATAACCTTATTTACATCAACTTTCTTTAAAATATTATTGTCTGATTCTTCAAAACGAAGACCGGATGAGCGAAATTGTGAGCGAAAACCAGATTCACGGGGATGACGTGAACGAGTCCCCAAGCACACCCTTATTAGAGAGACCGAATGAGGCAGCCCCGATGACAATGGAACCCGTCCCAGACGACTACGCAGATGAGGCGGCCGGCCTCGTGACCCAAGACGAGGTGGACTCTGCGACCGGGAGCAGGGAGGAGGCGGGATGGGCCCTCCACGAGC